GAGAAATTTAAATGTAAAATTATTGTTAAATATAATTATTTTCAAATAAAAAAATTTAAAAAGAAATAAATAGACTTTATTAACAAATAATTTGTCGTGCGTTTAGATTTATATCATATTTACTTTTATATTTGCATGTTGCATACAAATTTGTATATTTTATATATGATCCATATAATCTTTATAAGAAATTATATACATATGAAATATACATAAACTTGCTATTCATAAGCGCAGATACGAGACATTATGCAACGTTGCATTATGTTTGCATCTAACTTACATCTCTATGACTTATGATCCTATTTCGTATATTTTGTATGAAGAGCATACGAAGTATCAGGAGCATATGTCATCAATATTCGAATATACAGGAAATGAATCAGAATGAACGAGCAGATGTGTAGATTTTACTGTCTATTCTATCACTATCCTATTCAGTATTTACATCTTTACAGAGAAACATAGGAAGATGAAAAATAATAACAGAGAATCTAATTTTCAAAACATAAGAAGAAATAAAAATACAACTCTAATAACTTACCGAAAATTTTATAGTTTACTCCAGTAGTTTACGCTCCTTCCTAAAAAATAAAAAAATTGTACAGTAAATATATAAAAGAATAATTATATTACGGTATTATTAATACACTGTATAAAGACATATAGTGGACTTTCTGAAACATACAAAAATATTAAAATTAACATTATTATGTTAATTTTAACATTTTTGCATACTCAAGAAGTCCACTATACATTTTTAAATTAAATTAACATTTTATTTTTTACTGTGTATATACAAATTATTTCTGACAAAGATAACATTTCATTATAAATATAATATATTATAAATATTTTGTATGTATTTAAAACTCTTATATACACGCACACACGCATACACAACACAAAACACACACACACACACACACCCACACACACACACACACACACATATGTTCCTTTAACTTCTGCGTAGAGTATAGGATCTCTAATGAGGTTTCAGTAACAATAAATTTTTTCCGGAATTAAATAATTGTTAGCCTAATATTCATTCCCTAAACTGGAGGATCCATATAAATATCTCCACTGATATATATGCGGAATTTATAGTTTAACACCGGATCTGAACGGCGTTAGTGATTAAAGATCTCTTAATCATCAGCTGGAGCCATTTTCCGTTCCTTTCCTTAAGAAAAGTATTTCAATATATTAATTAACTATTCAATATAATAAAACACTTTTTCCTAAGAGAGTTAAACGCGAAAAATCGCGTATGTGGGCATAGGTGGGATTGAATTTGGATCTACAGATCGTGAGACAATCGCATTGTGAACGATACTTGACGCCTCAAATCTAATATATTTAGAATTTCTTTAAAAAAAATGTTTGCAGCTAATGAAAAAAGCAATTTTTTATATGTGAACTTATACGTATATCCATATAAATGTAAGTCATAAGTTATATAAGTTATATAAATTATATAAGTTATATAGTAATTTGTTAATGTTATTAGTAAGCATTAAAAAAAATTAAATTTATTATGATAATAAACAGTAATTTATTTGAATAAGAAAATTGAATAAATAAAGCTAAAATTAGAACTAATTAAAATAAATTATCTATAAATTAATACATAATACATTAGTAAAAATTTCAAACATGAAATGCTAATATAATACGTAGTGCACGCGTAATACATAAATGTTAAGATTTATAGTTATTTTATACAACTAATTGGCCGGAAAAAGAATTTAATTAGAGAATGCTTTTGTGATGTCCAAATGTGTATAAAATAATTTAATAAATTATCCTTGGATGACAATGCTTTATATAATAAATAAGATTTTGGATATCATTACTTAATGTACTATAACAATAACAATTTATCATTTTGTAAAATAGAAAAAATCAGATGGTTTTGAGTTATTATGTATTATACTGGAATTTGATAATTATCTGGCTGACGCGCGCGTACACGCTCCGTAAACTGGAATTGTATCTGTCATGATACTCTTTTTTGGAGGAGGGAAGAAAAATATATTCTCATTGGATTGACTTGATGCGCGACTCCCAGGCGAGAAGACTCGTCGTCGATTCGTTACAAAGGAATCCCCGAGCTACTTGAACGTATACACGTTCCATAAAAATGTGCGTGGCATTTTATATCGAGCGAGACCGTTCCCACGACACCCCGTGCGCCACTCCGATGGGAATATTTTATAGGGGTGAATTTGTACGTACGAGCCCAGATACATGCGTATGCGTGCATATGTGTATCCTACACATGCATATGTCTCGTGAGGCTGGTTCTAACGGTAATCAACGTGCTCGCATTTTTATCGGCAGTATGCTAATCTTAATAATACGTTTTGTTTTAGAGAGAGAGAGAGAGAGAGAGAGAGAGAGAGAGAGAGAGAGAGAAAGAGAAAGATTCCTATGCAACTCTATTAATCAAATAATTGAACATATCAAAATCTTTTCATTTTCTTTAAGAAGAAAGTCATCTCGATTTATTATTAAATAAATAAATTAATATTATAATGAATTTACTTGTTAAATAGTTTTAGAAAAATTCTAGATTTCTAAGAAATTCTAGAAATCTATGATTTATTGTAGACCTTCAACAATGAATTATATCGTAAAATTACTAGCTTCGACTTCAAAATCTTTTCAATTCGTTAAGTATCTGCAGAAATTGGACAAATGCGAAATTCAGTCGAATTTACTGTAGTTCAAACGGCAAATCTCCGAAACTTTGATCAAACAATGTTTTGAGGATAAATTAGTAGATTTCACTAAATATATAAATACAAAAAATGATCATAAAATTTATATTTACATTAAGATAATTTAATTACAGTATATTCACACACTTTAAGATTGTCAAATTCAATTACTAATAAAAAATTATAATAACTTATTTTACAAATAAAATTACAAAGGAGGCTTTTTATATATACCAACTGCATACATCTGCTGTGTAGTAATCGTGAATATCAATGTTACATTAGCAACAATTCAAGGATATGTGTATGTCTTACCGCGCGCGCATGTTACAATATGCAATCGCTCTACAATTGCCTGTCATTCTCCTATATTCAAATTGTCAATAGAAATAAAGTTTATTTAATACATATTTATAATTCTTGCATTATTTATTTAAAATTGTGGAATACCATAGAAAATGTATACCTTATAAAGCATATCTTATGATTTATAAAAAAACTACAATTATTAAAAACAAATTTATTGACTGAAGATGTAATTAATAAATAAAGATAATTAACTTAAATGACAAGTATTAAAAAGCAACAGAATACAAAAGAAAAGTAAAATGATGAGACAAAGAGTGAAAGAATAAGATTAAAGGATATATATACTTTATAGTATTATATATAATAAAACGGAATAGTACTCATTTATTTGTCAGGAAAAGAAATATTAATTACTACATTTATATATATATATATATATATATATATATATATATATATATAAATAAATA